AATACCACTCTAGCTATCAAAAAGAGACTTTGCAGTCTAAACTGACAAATAAAATAAATGATTTGACATGTGTAAATGGCATAGCCAACTTAGATGCATTAGAGCCTTAAATTAAACATCACCAAATGGTGCACAGAACGACTATTTAACGTATTTTGTAGAAAGGCAAGAACTTAGCTATTAACATCCTAATACCATTCGATAGGTAATTAAAAATTTCATTTCCTGATAAGTTAAAAAATATGGGGTTGTATTTAAATTAATCAAGTTAGAGTCACTTTAAGTTCTTATTTGATTAGTTTAAATTTGTGGACACCCTGTAAAACATGGTAAGTTTATTATCATTGGGATATAAAATATTATATCTTGTTACACTATACTATAAATTACGCTTACATAACTTAAATACTTCTAAAGTATTTGACACGTGAAAATTAGATTAGATTTTGATTAAATTCGTATTATTTAAAAAACCTTAAGATTTAGATATTATAAACCTTATTAAAACAAACCCTTACTTTGTTCAGCGAATCCAAAAATGCAATAATATCCAGGACATTCCATTTTAAAAAACGCAACTTTGATACCTTTAGAGCCTTTGGGACACCCTGTACATGACAAAAATATTTTTAAAATGTGCGCTCGGTAGGCGACGGACAATTCATAAAATAATACTTTTTAAAAATCAAGCGGTTTAGCCGCAAACTTCCGTGCCGCATAGCGTGAATAACCCTGTATGTTCCTCTAACATCGATGTTATAGGATCGATGTCCCATCCCTAGTCTGTGATGAGTGTGATGACCATCGAGATTCTAACTCTTTAACAACGTATGTGGTGGTGCTCAACTAAAGTGACAAAACTCGTTGGCATTTTGTTTGTTTAGGCGAAATTATTGCGTTTTAGGCAAATTTGTCTTATCGTTAAGTTAATAGATTCGGAGGTACAGGGTGTTAAAATGTGAAAACAATTTTCGTTTTTTTTTAATACCTTATCCAGGCTCCACCAAGAAATTTTGTATTTGGGGCTTTTTAGTAGTGATGGGCACTATCGAATAATCACTAAATGAATGATTGCAACTAGCGAATAAAATAATTCGAGTGAATTCATTCAGTGAATAGTGCGCGCTATGTAGTGCAGTGTAGGACAGACAGGGACAGAAATTACAAACTTATACTCTTTCGAAAATACAGGTTTCTAGTTAGTATGAACTAATTTAGTACTTTATTCATCCGGAAAAAGTGCGATTAACACTTAACGAGGCAAGTTTACAGCAGAAATGAGTGTGACAGGTTCTTGTAACACTTTTGCGAAAACTCAATATCTACAGGGCGTTAAAGTTAGATTTTTAAAATTATTTTTTGAAATAACTTTTTTGTTGGTTGTCCGATTGTTTTCTCATTTGGCACACTTATTACTTATGATCATTTGTATTATTGTTCAAAAGTTCCCGATAATGCTAAAAGGGTTCAAGTTTGCTATGGACATTTAAACTCTGTATTACAGAATCTAATAATACTTATAACCTTATTAAATATTTAATAAATACTAATTAATTTTAAGTGCACTTGTTTCCATGGCACGCTCTGTTAAAACTTTGGAAGTAATTTGATGTGCGTTATTTCTTGCGTCGTGCAAGACAATTTTAAGTAGATTTTCTCGAGAACTGCTCATTTTAGACAGATATGACAAGTAAACCTGGTTTACGTCATTTTCAATGCTCTTTAATTTTTTGAAATCATACGCTACAAAAAGTGAAAAATAAAGAAAATGTAGGAGTCAGTTAAGTGGTAAATGAATTTTTAAAACCAATTTTGTATTCAAGCTGCCCGATGATTTTCCTCCAAACAATCAGTTTCGATTATCAGGTGTTAGTTTTAATTAACCTGGCCGGCACTCGGATGCTCCCACAGTACCGGCGATTACCAGCAGGAAATGGCATGTTTTGTTGTTTCTTTAATAAAGAGGGGCCTCGAAGTTGCGTCTCATCGTGCGGAACCGTGGAAAAACTCCTTGCATATGCCTTTGGAAGCCCCCCTTTGGCACTACTTTTTTGATGTGAAGGGACAGTGTGTTTATTATCTACGCCACTGACCTTTCCGCCATCATGCTGTCGCACTCATCCCTGCTGGGCAGCGACATTACTTGGGGTATTCGAATTTCCTGCGGCTCCTCCATTGGCATCATTGCGGGCAGGGAATTCGGGGGGAGCATGCCCCGCTCCAGGGTGGAATCTGGCGTGTGCATCGCGCCCAGTGGCGTGCAACTGAAACCATTTCCAGAAAGTGTTGAATAATTGAAGTTTGGGCACTGGAAATGCGTTGATGGTGCAGGCAGCCTTGTCCCAGTCCATGTGGCGTCAGCAAGCCTACTTGGTTGCTGTGGAAACGCGCCTTTGGCGGCACTGCCGTGCGGTGAGCGGGGGACGCAATCTGGGACGAAGACTGTCTGCACCACGAACCAGTTTTTTCCATCAAACATCCAGTTATATAATAATTAGTGTTTTGATAGGACTAATAGGCAGAGTGCTGGGGCACATTTCCTGTCCTTTTTTATTGTTTTATTATTCGGAAGTGATTATTTTGTTGGAAATTTCACTGAATGGCACAAACTCTTAATTGATTGGGGCAATTGGGAAGATAATGGAACACCAACCTGGTCGTAAAATTGGTAATAAACAGCCCGCCTCCCACTATACGGAACCTAATGGATAATCCACAAGAACGGTGTAGAAAAACACACTTTCACAACACGCATAATCGCACGGGAACCCGTTTGGGCACGGCTGGAACCCCGAAAAGTGCACAACCCGCTTCTGGCCGAGCTTGTCGAGCCACTGATATGTCGGGGGCGCAATCAGGGGGGGAGGGTGCAAAAAATTGCCTCGCGCAGCGCAAAATGGCGCACGGATTTCGACGAATTGGCCGTCCGCTCGATAACTGAACGAGAAGCGACCGCGTCCCTTCTCTCTTGTGTCCGACCATCATGGTCGGCCATCGGAGGCGCGCAAGAAGTCGGTTCGTTTCACTTCTGGGCACCTGAACCAGGAGAAGATTTGAAAATTTGCCTCTTTTTAGCTTTTCAGCAGCAGCATTTCCACCCTGGGGACAATGGCTTAATCCTCACCCCGCCAATTAATCCCCCCAGGTCTTTATCAGGATCAGGTCGTCTAGCCATCTCGCTCACACGCCCGTGGGTCCATGTGCTTTGTTCTTGTCGGCATGGGTCGAAACGAGTTGGTAAAGTGTCGACATGGGGCCAGTGCACTAGATGGAGGCGAACAAATGAGAGAGATGGCATCAGAAGATTCTTTTGTTTTGCTGGCCGCGGACTTTGTACACCATCAGGCAGGCGGAAGGAGCGTGCGTTCGACTATTTTTTCGTTTACCTGCAGATATTAGTAGTCTACTGTTACCTGCCCTTTGAGAAAAGCCCATAAAGGGTCGCTTTGAGCTGTCCACTATGTATACTGGGACTGACAGGTTCCCATTTGGCCTCTTTGGACAGACAGGTAGATTCTGTTCAGGAAGAAACGGACGCCAAAACGGTTTTTTAAAGCGATTTATGGTCCAAGTTTGCCTGCACCTTGATGCTACTACGTATTTTTGAATTTTTTTTTAACGTTTTCTTTATGTCAGGGCAAATAACGATTTTTGTCAGTTCATCAGTTCTTCAGTTGTGTATGTAACTGACGTTTTTTGTCAGTTTTTTTCGAAGTTGGTGCAGTTGTGCCGCCCTTTAAGCGATCGTGAACAAATTGACCTGCCAGAACGGCTCAAGACGCACCGGCCGCCTACGTTAGTTGTATAGCAGGTAGGTGGCAATGTATTTATTCAAAGGGCCCGATGAGTCACCTTTTTCCCATGCAGGTGCGCGTTTGCTTAACCGCTTCTTTGGCGGTTTTGGCCCATTTATGTCCATGTTTCTATTCCATTGCCATCCCGTAGCACCATAATGCCTTGGACCAGAGAAGCCGCATTTTCCTTATGGATTTAAAAAAAAGTAAATTTTTTCCAGTTAAAGAGTGTTGACTACCTAATTCAACATCCACCCTCGTATATTGCCATGGTGCGACAAAGACAATGGGGTTTCCATGGCAATTGCTAGATTGCGCTCGCTCTTGCCTATAGTACTGGACAAGTAGAACTAGTTGGTAGTGCTACGGGGTGCAATTGAAAATGTTGCAACATTTAATCGGGGAGGTTTTCATGGCGTCAGCAAACTTTTCTTGAGATTCAATGACTTCAATTTTGAATCGTATATCTTTTAAAGCCGTTCTTAACCACTTAAGACGGTTAAGTGATGCCGTTGGAATATTAGATGAGATTGTGTGATGGTTATGTAAGACTTTGTTTACTTTGTCTTCGGGTACATTTAGTCACTAGTAAAATATTTGAGCTAGACGGCGGAGAACATTTTAAGCGAGTGATTCACTGCAGGTTCCTCTCCGGAATCCTGCGTAACAGATTCCGGATCTTGCCCTTGAACTTCTTTGACGTTGTTTTTCCGCCTATGAATCCGTCCGTGGTCTTTGCGCCCGGAAATTGCCGGAGTCGGCCCTAATAAGCAGGGTAGGGTGCAAACGAAATTTGGTGTTAATTTGCCAGTTTCGGTTGGAGAGCAAAATAAGAAAACTGTTTAAATAATTCCAATTTTGCAGCCTCTGGCAAGCCTATTTACAAGCTTAAGCGATCTGAACATTCATGTGATGAACATGCATATTCCTGGGCCATACATGAGTTACATTATGAACATTCCATGTATGTTCCAGGAATCTGTCAGAGTTAATACACTGAATGTTCATGGTATGTTCTGGGAATGTACATGGTATGTTCAGTGAATGTACATGTGTATGTTCTGACAATGT